TTAATCATAGGTAATTTTTCAGGCAAATATGCCTGGAATTGCCTACATTTAAGAAATAAGTTGTTTGTTGTTTATCACTTTGAGTTATTATATGTAGTGTAGGGCTACGTTATTTTCCGCGAAGTTATAAGGAGTGTGCAGTACAAGGCTGCTGGAAGAAAAATTATATTTATCGGGTAAAGGAGAAATATATAATATCCAGTATTGTAGGCATCTTAATGATATAAAAAATATATATATAGAGATCCCTTTGCTTCTTGAAAAAGAGCGCCCAATGTATGGAATTTTTAAAATAATCTGTAATATTACTGTAAATGTTTTATTTTTCTTTTTCGCTTTAAAATGCATTCCTTATAAAAATGTTACCAAACATAATAGATTTGTGATATGCCTAAAACACATCAACTATCGCTATTAGAATTCAAGTGGAGCTAATCTATGAATGAATGTGCAATGCTCTCCTAACCAGTGTTGGGAATTCAAAAAACGATATGATGATTTTTTGTAGACACCTTTGTTTTTTATTATGCTCACGTTAAAAAAAAAAAATAATGATCACAGATAAAGTTTTATTAATTAGATAAAAGTTGTTTATGTTCACAAATGTGAACATAAAATAAAAAAATTCCAATTTTTTAAAAAATTATGTTCTTGTGAACACCGTGAACATATGATTTTCAACACTGGTCGTAACAGTATAATAAGATTAAAGGTCGAAACTGGTTGCAAATTTAAAAAACTTAATTGGATTTAATAGTGCTTTAGTAAGTACTGTATTTTGATTAGCTAAAATAAAAAAATCATACAGATTGAATCGACAAATATCAGGTACATACCGAGAGACAAGTTTCCTGATATGTACCCGATATTTGATTATTCATTAAAATTGCAGCACCCTTTTCTCATAAGTGTAAAAAAAAAAAAAAGCCAAATTTAATTTTAACGCAAGTTTTTCAATAAAACTAGAATATTATAAGATAAAAAACCATAACTGATAAAAATGTTACATATTGAATCTTGTACGAAATACAATTCTTTTTTAATTATTATATAAAGATAAGAATCTATTTAGATAAACCAATAAAAATTTAAGTTCTGACGAAAGAATGGTACTAAATATAATTAACATTATCCTCTAAATCAACTTGAAACTGTGGAAGATTAACCCTTCCTTCTAAAATTCTTAACCTAGCAACCTCTTTACAAACATTACATTCCATATTTTCAATATTCATATATACTTTTCTTTCAAATCCTTCCGACCATTCCTTGGCAGTTCTCCATTTATGATATTCCAAATAAGCCGTTTTATTTTCCATTAAATACTTTAAATGATCGGCAAGAGCTTTAACATCAGGAAAATCATCAATAAAAATGGCAGATTTAGGATGTGGTAGGTACGAACGACTATTAGGTGCACCCCAGATAATAGGTACGGATCCAGAGTTAAACACATCCCAAAGTTTTTCAGTAGAGTAATCTTTTTCTTGAGATATTTCAATGGATAAATGAAAAGGATATTTAGAGATAATACAATTTTTTATTTCATAAGATTCTAAATTTGCGCAATCCGGATGAATATCCCAATTAGCACTCCAGTAGACACTACCAAAAGATGCAATAGGAATATGATCTTTGAGAGTTGGAATCCAAGCTTCACGGAATTTTGTCCACTGAGAAGCAATTAAAGAAATTGGTGGAGAGCTTGGAGAGAGTTTTTCCATGTCAAAGGGTTGTTTAGTTCG